ATCAGTAATTGTTCTTAAAAGGACTTAAGAAGGATAAATATTCGTAAGGAAATAAATAGTTCACTTATTCATTACCGTCACTCTACATTTTACTTCTAACTCTGTTTTGTATCTAAAATATGCAGAATGTTTGTTTGTTAAGAATTGGTGCGTATAGTTAGGCCAAAAAGGAAACAACTGTTCATCAGGTTGATCTTTTATTAAGGAAGTATTATTTCTGTTTGTCTATCCGAATATTTTGTAACTGTTTAGGTTTTTAATTATCGTAATTTTATTCACATTTGATTGTAATAAACACGGAACAGAAAAAAAAAATTGTTTTTGTTTTTGTTAGAATCATGAATATAATATTTACTATTAAATTGCACACAATTTTCCACCATTGGCACACAGCACAGTGAAGAAGTTTGAAAAAAGAATTGAAGGTGTAAAGATTTGCTTACAATGTTGACATTTTTTAAGGAACTTGAAATTAATTTGTTTAGTATAATTAAAACCTATGGCAGAATTGTATCAGCTGTGAAATATTTTAAAATGGTATTATAGACTGCATCCACTTTATTCCACTTATTGGAATAATACAAACTTAATTAGCAGTTTGGAGAAAGGGACATATTTCCCTGTACTGTTGGGAATATGATTGACTTCCTAATGGTTTTAGGTGCATTAATGTGCCCTGTGGCTCGTAATTCGCGGCCTCTGGACTATCATATTGTACTTTTATGAGGGCAAATAAGGGGGTATTTTCAACCCAGGGTGAGCTCAAGTGCATAAAAAGTACATATTTGGACTTTAAATGTATTTATGAATTCTTTATATTTTAACAGACTTATTATCAGTAAAAAGGAAACTTATTATCTGTATTTGTTATCGTTATGCATCGTTTCATAACACTACAGTGACATAGCAAGCGAGAAGTATTTCGAATTGGAACATGTAATTGTAATTTCTAACTCACGTTGCATTTAGATTACGTTTTATTTCATCAGCTTGATTTATCAACTATTTATTTACAAATAAAATTCAGGTAATGAAGTTAGTCGGATCACCCTGAAAGTATTAATGATCTTAAATATTTTAACTAGACCTACCTATACGTTAACAAATCTAATCTTATTAGTAGAAAGGTCTTTATTAGTAGAATAAAATGTAGCAAAATTTTAACTCAAGTGGAAAACCGAGTCCCAAATGACAGCTGTTCAAAGATGAATTGAATTTGCAATGTTTTATCCGCTACGTCCTCAGGGCGCGCCCATTAGGAAGTTGGGAGAAAATCAAACCGTATTCATAGGTCGATATACACTTCAAATTGGAGGGATTGATTAGTGGATTACAATCCCGAACATCTTAGCTCAAAATAAAAAATGGGTAAAAAATGGCATTCGTTCAAAGACTCAAAATGGCAGATTGAAGATATTTTGAAACGGCTGCCATTTTTGACTCGGTAGTCCGTTTGTGTCCAAATTTACGGCATTGCATTCTACTTGAGATTTTCATCTGATTCCTAGCGGGCCGTCCCCCTGAGTACGTAGCGGATCCCTGAGTTTTTGATAAAATAGATTTTTATGTCAAGTAACTCCCCTTGAAAAATATTTAACCGACCCGAGACTTTTGGACACCCTGTATTTATATATTTTATACCCTGTATTTATATATTTTACACCCTGTATTTATATATTTTACACCCATTTGAATTTTCACTTCCATTAATGAGTTTTTGATTATATACTGATTACAGATCAACAGGTCTATTCAAATACGTTCACAAATTTAAGCGATCTGACTATGGTAGAAATCCGGGTTTGGGGGCATTGTTTTGACCAAAATTTGGCTTTTCCTAATTTTTTTAGGCTAAAGAGGTTGCATCGTTTGATCCACCCTAAGTATACTACATCCTCTTAGCTAAATAGGTATACATATTACGTATTATAATATAAATATAACCTATGCCAGAACCCCGTATGACCGCAAAGTATGTGGTTCCACTTAAGATATGGAGATATGGGTGAGCAATAAAAAGGGACTATAGTGAAAAAATTATGTATCTTAAACATTAAAAAAAGATTTTACGATAAGTAGGCCTAATGTGTTAAATATTTTTTTCTATTTGATTCAGAATATGACGAAACGTGTTTGCTCATATCATCATATAAAAAAATAAATATACCCCCGCCGCAGCAAACCTGCAGACTAAGCGAATTTCCATTTGACTGATTGGATTTACACTGAAATGTCTACTTAAAAATATAACATTTATTCTTGATTTAAATAGAATTAGTTTAACAAGTACTTAGGTTTGCTGCATCAGGGAGGGTAAAACTTTTTTTTTTGTAAAATGTGAATAGGTAGTGAGAAATAAAAACATTTTCCAAATTTGATCAAAATATGTTCACAAACAAGCAAACTACAACAGTTTACTTATTCTCCATAAGAATAACATGGGAATTTTAAATTTACAATTTTTTGGAATTTTCTCCGTAACTATTAGGCGCATAATAACGCTTCAATATACTAAATTATTTGTTTTTTTAAGCTCTACAAAATGGTTTGGAAAGAAATTGCAAAATTTTATGTTTTTTGGGTCAAAAATAGGAAAAACCTATTTTTACCCCATAAAACCCCCCGTAAACCACCGTTCCCATGGTCCGATCATGCTGGATCGCGAACTCGTTCGAATAAACGTACGTTTACACGTTTGTACCAAATTTCATCCAAATCGGATCATTTTTGCTCGAGTTATCGTGCTGACGGACACATATATATATATATATAAATATATAAATATATAAATATATAAATATATAAATATATATATATATATATGAATTTGAACGGATGGTGTTTCTGGCCTCTAGGGACCTCAAAACGAAAAAAAAATCGGTCCCGCGTCCAGGTCTTACCATGAGTACTACGGTAATAGCTTATTCCCTATATGGGAAATTCGCTAAAACAAGTCACTTGGAAATGCGGCCCCGTTCAACAGCTAAACAAAATTTACCTGATAAAGATTTAATTTAATAACTAACATTAATAACACTAATATTATAATACTTCATTTATAAGAAAACTGAGTGCCTATCTATGTTGTGCATTCTTGTATTATTAAGAATATTCTAAGTGTATTTTAATTTATACACTAGAAAATTAAGTTTTCCCAGATTTAAAAAAATTAACAACGTTACCGTAACTTTTTATTCAAACAAGGACCAATACACTCCGACGTGGTTTAAGGCAAACAGAGTAGGAATGACATGATAGTGTGATAAATTGGGTTGTGTTGCCATGTGGTTAGCCACTCGGGCTACAGTGTAAGAGATATGGGTGTTAGCGGTTAGCCACTCGGGCTACGGTGCGAAAGATATAGGTGTTAGTGGTTAGCCACTCGGGCTACGGTGCGAGAGATATAGGTGTTAGTGGTTAGCCACTCGGGCTACAGTGCGAGATACATAGGTGCTAGCGTAAGCAACTTATAGGCTACGGTGCGAGAGATATAGGTGTTAGTGGTTAGCAACTCGGGCTACGGTGCGAGATACATAGGTGCTAGCGTAAGCAACTTATAGGCTACGGTGCGAGAGATATAGGTGTTAGTGGTTAGCAACTCGGGCTACGGTGCGAGATACATAGGTGCTAGCGTAAGCAACTTATAGGCTACGGTGCGAGAGATATAGGTGTTAGTGGTTAGCCACTCGGGCTACAGTGCGAGATACATAGGTGCTAGCGTAAGCAACTTATAGGCTACGGTGCGAGAGATATAGGTGTTAGTGGTTAGCAACTCGGGCTACGGTGCGAGATACATAGGTGCTAGCGTAAGCAACTTATAGGCTACGGTGCGAGAGATATAGGTGTTAGTGGTTAGCAACTCGGGCTACGGTGTAAGATATATGGGTGTTAGCGGTTAGCCACTCAGGCTATGGTGCGAGAGATATGGGTGGTAGTGGTTAGCCACTCAGGCTATGGTGTAAGATATATGGGTGTTAGCGGTTAGCCACTCAAGCTATGGTGCGAGAGATATGGGTGGTAGTGGTTAGCCACTCAGGCTATGGTGTAAGATATATAGGTGTTAGTGGTTAGCAACTCGGGCTACGGTGTAAGATATATGGGTGTTAGCGGTTAGCCACTCAGGCTATGGTGTAAGATATATAGGTGTTAGCGGTTAGCCACTCAGGCTATGGTGTAAGATATATAGGTGTTAGTGGTTAACAACTCGGGCTACGTCGTAAGATATATGGGTGTTAGCGGTTAGCCACTCAGGCTATGGTGCGAGAGATATGGGTGGTAGTGGTTAGCCACTCAGGCTATGGTGCGAGAGATATGGGTGGTAGTGGTTAGCCACTCAGGCTATGGTGCGAGAGATATGGGTGGTAGTGGTTAGCCACTCAGGCTATGGTGCGAGAGATATGGGTGGTAGTGGTTAGCCACTCGGGCTACGGTGTGAGAGATATGGGTGGTAGTGGTTAGCCACTCGGGCTACGGTGCGAGAGATATGGGTGGTAGTGGTTAGCCACTCGGGCTACGGTGCGAGAGATATGGGTGGTAGTGGTTAGCCACTCGGGCTACGGTGCGAGATATATGAGTGGTAGTGGTTAGCCACTTGGGCTACGGTGCGAGAGATATGGGTGGTAGTGGTTAGCCACTCGGGCTATGGTGCGAGAGATATGGGTGGTAGTGGTTAGCCACTCGGGCTACGGTGCGAGAGATATGGGTGGTAGTGGTTAGTCACAGCTTTGTTAGCTAACTATGGCCAGATAATTCATTGGCCAGGATTATTGCGAATAGTAAACTTTTGCCCATTTCCGGACGCGAATGGTTTATCTCGGTATCGAACTGGAGCTAGAGATAATTTTGTAATTCAGGGCGAGCCTTCCAAAACTCTACACAACTATTTTGGTGAATATATAATCCAACCATCGTTGTAGAACTCTAACTCAGCAAAGCGTATACACTATTGAATCGTGTTATATCCCTTTATATCAAGTAAGACTGACAATTATTTTTTTCAGATCCGTTCTGCACACTGACTGACAGCTTCTTCGGCTACGCTGGTTGTGATACGTACCTCGCCTACCGATGCTACGAATACGGAGGTAAGATTTATTAATCAAATGCATCATTACCCCCAGGAACATTCTCCATAATCTATGTTTATTGATACAGTGGCAATATATACAGTCAAATCATTAAATATAAGTTAGGCAGTTTGTCCGTATATAAAAATAGGTATAGAGATTACAGGTATATATTTAGCAATTGCATTAAAATAAATGTCATTTGAAGTATGAAACAAAATTTTCAAGAAAATAAACTTTTATAATATATGCTATGCTTTCTATTATAGCTAAGTATATATTATATATATATATATATATATATATTTATTTATTTATTTATTTCGGAATATTCTTACTTGTTCTTATCCACCATCGCTGTTACTTGAGACAGCAACATAAATTCTGTCTCATATTTACTTGCTAAGTTGTATTATTCAATAAAATTTTAAAAGTCTTCATTATACTCCATTATAAGAATAATTGAATATTTTTCATACATAGGACATAAATAATGTATCAGCTGCATTCTCGTGGCCGTCCTTAAGGAAAGTGAAGGCTCGATCATGAATTTATCGTTTTTATACTGTATACATAGCATCGTAGTATGCTCAATTATTCGGTTAAATATTTCCTTTAAACTTATTCTATAAGGTAAATGTCAAACAGAGTGTAGCTTGACACTCATAACGTTGAAATATGTTATCCACATAACATATTTCAACGTTCAATGATGCATTTCATTTCCAAATTAGAGAAAATAATTAATTTATGTGTAAATACCTTAAGCCTAAAAAAGAAATTCCCTACATCCACATGTAGGGAATTTCTTTTTTAGGCTTAAGGTATTCACACATAAATTAATTATTTTCTCTAATTTGGAAATGAAATGCAGGGAATTTCGACTGTAAGGACAACCTCTAGCTTGCATGGTTTATAGCATAATTTATGTCGTATCAAACATTTCGGGGACAAAACCTCAAGGGGAAATGTATTTTTAGTCTGCAGCAGACACTATCTTAGGCTCATTCAATGATGTAATTTTTTTATAAACAGTTGGCGACAGCTGGTCCATATATAACTGTACTAAACCAGTGTCGTTAGCAATTCTTTATGAAGTGAATGCCCACAGTCTATTACAATAGCTCTGACATGACTTGTGTTTTAGACTGCTCCAGTGTGGGCGACACCGACTCCGGTGTTGTACTTGGGTTCTCGCCTCAGTGCCGCACAATCGGTCTCTCCTGTCTGAGGAAGGTTGAGGAGATTGTCCGTGACAACTGTCTGCCTGACCAGGACTACTACGTCCTTCCCATGAAGTTGCCTAACAGATGTGTCACCCAACAGCTGTGTCTGCAACCTCCCAACCCGTTCTACGGAGCTTTGGTCGAGCCTGTTCGTCCTTACGTCGGTTTAGTTTAGTTTAGTAGTAAACAATAATTGTAAAATAACTTAACGGCTTTATTAAATAACCATTGAACATCACAACATACAATCGAGTCACCATCATTCGCTCAATTGTTTATATGACTGAAATGTATTTATGTAATAAAATTGCCATTAAGAACCCATTTTGGTTTAGTATTTTGTCCTTCCTTTGTAGGTGTACTTTGGTCAGTTGGGTATTCGATCTATAAAAACCTTGTTTGTTACTGCAGAGGATACTAAACACTCTAAAACTAAAGGTTCAAAAATGTGAATAGGTGAAGCCTACCTTGTTTTTATACTAGATACGAGTGTGCTTATAAGGCTTTCTGAAGAATCTTTGTATTTACATGCAAATTATAAAAAGCGTACTTTTAATATTTTTCGATGTCAGTTTGTATTCTTATAATCGTTAAGTTATGATAAGTTAAACTTACATCTTATGTTTAAACTTATAGACTGAGGAAAATATTTATTAGAGCAGGAAGGCTCCTAAAATTACAACATTAAAAAAATTTAAACATTAGCAATAATTTTGTAAATCACTTAAATAAGCTGGAACGTATACACCTATAGGTTTCCAACGTATGGAAAATATAACAATTTTGATTTCATTTTTATAATGAAAAATATTTTACTTGTATTACTTTTAAAACTACCTAGCTGGTCCCAAACATACGGTAACAAGCTTAGTGGAGTACTAAACTATCTTAAACTCTCACATGGTAGTCAAGAAACAACTTGATGGATAATAGCAATACTTTTTTTCCAAGCTGCAAAATATTCGACAATGTCGACGGCCCAGGACTAGTAAATAATATTTAGTTTGGTTTTAAAGATTATATGGGTTTCACACTATGTAGAATAGCTTTTTACATTTTCAATGGTTTCTATAAAGTGGAATAGCTAAGGGTAAGCAAGAAAAACACACTAAAAATAACAAATTATAAATACACTATCTAAAATTGTATTTAAAAGTCTCTTGATTTTTTTTTAATGGATAATGATATAGTTCCACGAAGAGCGATAATTATACTAGGCTTAGATATTGGATCAATGCTGTAGATGTTTATTTAAGAAATACATTGATTTAACTTTCCTTAGATAATTTATATTTATGAGTGGGATGGAAACGATAAAGATCTACATCATTCGGCTTAGCCATTTTTGTAAGAAAAACAATTTAAAAATAAACCTACACTATATATCCCGTTTGGAAAGTTGTGTTTTAGTATAGTAAAAAACGTTTATGCAAAAGTTCAGTAACTTCTACTAGCTAACGTCACATTACTTCCACTAAATAGCAAAATACGTAATCTTGCGAATGATACAAATTTCGAGTATATGTTTTGCATCAACTAAAGCAAGGTAGGTACTCTAATAGCGCAGCGGTATTGATAAACATTAATGCATATCTTAAGGTTCAGTTTGGCATATGATAGCACTGTACATCAGGATTGAACTGATTGTAAGAGTAGCAAAACTAATCAAAAAAGTTTGGTAGTTTAATTTACAAAACCACATGTTCCCAGATAAACGATTCATGTTGATAATATGTTCCCTGATCAAATATACAGTAATGCACATTAATGTAAACACTAAAGAATAATGGTACCTCATTGATAATGATAATCAAATCATAGTAGTTTTGTGTATTGCCGTCCGTATTACTTCACAAATTATACAGGGTGTTCATTTGAAAACTTTCCATATCTGTTGTGTGCAAAGGTAAGGCTTTCAACGCTTGTTTGTTCTCATTTCCCCCTAATTTGGACATGCCAAATCCAATAAAATTATTTTCAATTTTGAAAAATGCCCCAAAAGGGCCCAATTTGGGGGGTAGGGGTGCCTTTTGAAAGATTTTCAAATGTAAACATGGGTTGTGTGATACATCAATTTAAAGGTCTAATCACCCCGATCATTTTGGTGCAAAAAAAGTTTAATTATCTTTAACCGTATTTACAGGGTGGGTCAAAACGTTTTAAAAAAGGACTTTGAAGTTAAGTACCGTATTACCGTAACTAATGAACGGAACAGCGCCAAATTTCTTTCCAAGCTTATTCTTGAGCTACTCTTTAAGATAACTTGTAGTAAGGGCATTTTCCAAGTTATTTTCTAATTTTTAAAAAATCTCAAATTTTAAGAATAAAAGAAGGCTGAAAACTCAAAATTCTTAAATAGCAATGTATAACAAATTTCATACCACAAAAAAGGCCATTTTTCAAAAAACATTTTACGTATTTAAGTTTTCTTTCTATCTCTTACCGTTTAAAAATTGCAGTGGAAAAACATAATTTTCTATGGTAAAATTATAACTAGTTTTCTAATAAAACACATTGCACTCTGTTAAACGATGTAGTAGGATTCATAAAAAATTGATCGACTACTTTTACGTGTGTCAGAATTCATCTAGGACTCTTTATCCTGTTCTTTTCTCATTGGTAACTGAGCCAGTTTCAAAAAACTTCCTAACTAAATCATCTACAGCCATATGACTCAAGGTTATACCTGGATATCTATTGTTAAACACTTTGCAGTTATACTGGGACACTTTTGTTATGACCAATAAGTAAAAATAAAGTCTATTTTTTAAAGTTTACACCATATTTGATTAGGTACTACAGGAAATGGTACTTTTGAAATTAGTACTACCATTGACTAGTCAATGGTACTACAGAAAGCGGCCCACGCTTGGGTTTTTCTCATCAGCTATAAAACTTGTTTTTCACAAAGTAAAACGTAATGACTTGTTTGCCTATCTGCCTAAAAATAATTATAAATTGTTTCCTTCAGTTATTGCACTATTTAATGTGTCTAGAGACGAATTTTGGGTGTTTTATTAGAAAACTAGTTACAATTTTACCATAGAAAATTATGTTTTTCTACTGCAATTTTTAAACGGTAAGAGAAAGAAAGAAACCTTAAGAAAGAAAACTTAAATACGTAAAATGTTTGTTAAAAAAGGACCTTTCACGTGGTATGAAATTTGTTATACCTTGCTATTTAAGAATTTTGAGTTTTCAGCTTTCTTTTATTCTTAAAATTTGAGATTTTTTTAAAATTAGAAAATAACATGGAAAATGCCCTTACTAAAAGTTATCTTAAAGAGTAGCTCAAGAATAAGCTTGGAAAGAAATTTGGCGCTGTTCCGTTAAGTAGTTAGGGTAATACGGTACTTAACTTCAAAGTCCTTTTTTGAAACGTGTTGACCCACCCTGTAAATACGGTTAAAGATAATTAAACTTTTTTTGCACCAAAATGTACGGGGTGATTAGACCTTTAAATTGATGTATCACACAACCCATGTTTACATTTGAAAATTTCTCAAAAAGCACCCCTACCCCCCAAATTGGGCCCTTTTGGGGCATTTTTCAAAATTGAAAATAATTTTATTGGATTTGGCATGTCCAAATTAGGGGGAAATGAGAACAAACAAGTGTTGAAAGCCTTACCTTTGCACACAACAGATATGGAAAGTTTTCAAATGAACACCCTGTATACAAGATGTTAAGTTACATTTTTTAGACATTGGAACCATAGAGGTTGAACCCGGTCTCCATTAGACTACTTTAGGATTACTTGGGCAGAAAAAAATTTAACCTTTTGTACGAAACAGATTCTTTTTTTAAGTTAAATGAAACACAGTTCAGAGTGAACCCTGGGGTCCACTCAAGTAAATCAATCCCGTGTTAGTTTGATTAGCAAAGAGAGAAAATGTTAACATTTCATTCCGTTCAAAAAAAGGCATACATCTCCTTCATACATTATGGTGGCAACAGGTAGTAGTAAACTTATGAAGTTTAACGTTAACAAAATTTAGAACTTCCGCTATTCTAATTTGACTTAGGTTCATCATAAATAGGGTTACTAAATGGCAATAGCCAATGCGTTGCATATAGAACACGGCTTGAAATGACTGTCTCTAAATCCATAATTGTGAACCAAGCAAGCCAGATTATAGGTAGAGAGAAGCGAAAAAAATCCTACACAAAGATATATCGACTGTCAGTCTGAGTCCGATCTAACATACAATGCACTGCAGACTTTGTTTTAATTTGTAACCTAGTTTCAAATGAAATTATCAGCTGAAATTCCTCCTTCCGGTTACGATTATAATACTGATTCTTGAAAATAATTATTGATCGTTTCTATGTTAAGGATGTATTATAAAACATTTATATAATGTATTAGTATCATTAACACCATAATCCATCTTGGTGTTTTATTCTATGATAGAAGCTCTTCTTATCCAATCTATGCACACTGAGTGGCTCAATGTCCTCCTTGTGCTGGGGTCTCGTGAGCTCTATGTCTAAAAGCTAACTTGTCTCCAGAACGCTTGGATGGAACTATAAGCCTTTTTGTTATGATACCAGGGCTTTCCTACATCAGTAGGGCTGATCTAGATAGACCTTCCTAGTCCAAAGAATGACCTCGACGAACTGCTTGATAAAGTTCCTGGTGTATTCCCCTGCAGTATAATTTCAACGACATTGTTGGAAGTGACTACCGATTTCAGACGTCATGGAGTCTTGCCAAGCGTTGGCTATGTCAAATTAAAAGATGATGGCCGAGTCTTACGTGCCTGGGCAATAAAGAGAGTCCCAGATGACAACCTTTCCCACCGTGTGCAAACAGGCATGGGAAGTACCCGTGCCCTTACAAAAGCTTGATCAAAATACTTAATCTTTGAAATTACTGTCAATCAACCCATGATGGAATACTGGGAATTGGCTGGGCAGTCTACTTCCTATGGACTCAACGTCCCGTTCGTGTTGCAAGCTGTCGGAACAGTGTTTACACGCTCTTTTCTTTGTGACTGTCACTCTGCCCACCCTGAGCCTCCTTTGCTAGTTTGAATATAAATCCTTCGTAAAATAGGAGTCGGGGGTGTTACTGCTGACCACTATGACTCCTGGCTCAGTAACCGCGTAGTAAGCATATGAAACTCACAGTGCACCTCAACACTGGGCAAGGGGAAACGATCACAATCTCACTAACACATGGGACCTCAACACCATAAAGGAGGATAAAATGAAATGCAGACTTCAGTAGGTGACGTTTGAACAAGCGGGGAGCTCCAACGTTTAAATAAGCTTTGTTAGTGGTGCCTTATCTGTTCACCGAAATGCATTTTGCTTTCAAC